CCCTTGTGCCCCTGCCCGCAGGGTGTTTCAGGGGGCTTTGTCCCCCTACCCAGTTCTTCAGCTGCCACCCCAAATCCATAGAGGTAACCAGATAGAAGTCGGGTGGTGCCACCTCCATCACTGCCCCCTGGCCCTAGGAAGAAAGGGCAGCATGGGGTCCTATGGGGAGGAGGGCTCCCAGGGGTGGCAGGCAGGAGAGGCTCTGCCCACAGTCAGGGATGCCTATGCGAGTGCAGGTGCCTCGGCCTTGCCTTCATCCCTCCTCCTCCTCTCTGGGCCTCCATTTCCCCGTCTCTAAAATGAGGCAGGGGAGGTCTGAGTTCTTGTGGGAGTTCTGCTGGCATCCCAGGCATGGGCACGGTGGCCAGGGAGGCACCCGCAAGGTCAGGTCCACGTCCCCACAGGAAGTGTCGATCTTTCGGGCCGCCTGCCCCGGCTCTGGAGGAAGGGTGCACCCAGGGCCCTTCACCCGGCTCAGCCCGGCTGCCGGCTCCTCGGAAGCCGTTGTGGGGCCGTTGTGGGGCCAGGGCTCGGGGCCTGCCGGTCGGGCCAAGCGCTCTCACAGTAAGCATGCTGCACCCCTGCCCTGCACAGTGCAGGGATCTGGCGGCTGCCAGGGTCCCCCAGCCAAGTTCTAGTCCTTCCCTCAGCGGGCGCAGGACCAGAGAGGCCCCGTGCTTTGTGAGCGCAGGAACCCGACTGCCACGTGCAGCCGCACCGCCTTGACTGCCCTCGGCCACTCTCTGGCCACTGGGGCTCCCAAGCTGGTGCCCGTTCCACTATCCTGGCCACCAAAAAGGATGAACATTAGAGGCCAGAGGAGGCAGAGTCCATGGGCTGGGGAGGCCAAGAACCTTCCTGGAGGCGACGTGAGGTGGAACTGTTGGGCTCGAGGTTGGGAATGCTGTTGCTGATGCTTGCGTGTGCCAGTCGGGGCCTGGGAACAGGACGCTGGTTCATTTTGTTCTTTCATTCATGTTAGTCCCTTTGTCCTCCCAGTGCACTCATCAGCACTTACACTCACAGAGCTTGTGTGTCAGGCGCTGGGCACTCAGGTGAATTCCCATCTGGCCCCTTACCCGCTGGAAGGGGAGGCAGACACCTGAACACCCAGGTGCCGTGCAGTATCACAGGGGCTAGCACAGATGTCTGGAGGGTGGGGGTGTGTGCGCACCAATCAGGGAGGGGCCAGCTCTACTAGCAGGCCAGGGAAACTCCCCAGTGAAGGTACCCTTTGAACTTCTCCTAAAATAGGTAGTTTTTTGGCAGGTGGACCAGGCAGGGGAAGGACATTCCAAGTAGAGGGAACTGAAACAAAAGCATGGAAATATGAAGCAATCTGGTATGTCGGGGGAACTGAGACCAGATTGGTGTGGGCAGTGGGAAAGAGGAAGCCGGGGGAGGCCAGGGGTTGGGCAGAGCCAGGGTGTGTGGGTGGCTGCATCAGGCGGCAGAGAGCCCCTCACCCCACTGGTTGAGGATTCAGCTCTGGGCCTTGCTCTGGGCCCTTAATGCAGCAGGAGTTGGCTTGGATGTACAGAGATTGCCGGTGGCAGGTACCATGTCCATGGACAGGGAGCCTACAGACCTCATCAAGACCCCACATCTGGTCTTCCTCGCCACCTCTGGGGCATGCAGATCTGGGTGACATTTATTTCAGGTGTGTCTCAGGGAAGGGACTTGTCCCACCCATGACTTTGGCTGGGTTCCTAGGGTTGCTGAGCACCTATTTACCGTATGCCAAGTATCAGGCTCAGGCACTGAACATACTGCAATTCGTGGAAGCATCACAGCACTCCCCAATTTCCCCTCTCTGGTAATATTTTTGCCCAAATTTATAGATGATCAAATTGGGGCTCAAAGTGGTTAAGTGACTTGCACGCAGCCTTTATGTAGCAGAGCCAGAATTCAAACTAGTATCTGTTTGATATCAAGAATGATGCTGTCTGTAGGCTAGAGCACTACCTCTCTGGTAGGGCTTATGCTATATGCTGTTTTAAAAGAATGATAAGCTCTTATAAGGATGCAGTACTTTCTAGTATATTGTTCCCATTTTTTAGATGGAAAAACTGAGGCCCGGGGAGGGAAGGGACTAGCTAGGATCAGGTAGTTCCTGGGCAGTGGCCTTAACAGCAGGTCCTGGACCTCCTGCTTTCTATCCAGGACTCTCTCTAAAACAGGCAGGGCTTTTCTCAGTCTGGCTATACCTCTGGGACCCAGGATTTTGGGAAATGACTCCTGAGGGCTGAGTCTACTCATGGAGAGGCCCACCATGCATGGGGTCATACAGCCATGGCAGTTCTTCATCTGGGGACAAGTTGAGGGAGAATCATCCTAGGCCAAGAGTTGTCCCATAGAATGCCCATAACGACTAACGTTTACTGAGCACCTACTATATGCCAGGCACTAATTTAATCCTTAAAACAGTCCTCTGAGTAGATATTATTATTAAACCTCCTTATAGATAAGGAAACTGAGGCAGAGGTGGTTAAGAAACTTGCTCAAAGTCACACAGATATAAAGTGGCAAAACTGGGCTTTGAACCCTGGCACACTCGAGAATTCATGCCCTTAACCGTTACATTCCAACTGACTTGGAGTGTCAGTATCCACAGAACTTGGATGTAGATGGGCCTTGGGCCCATCAGTCACTGCTAGCTGTTGATGCTGCACCCGACCTGTCCCAAGGGCTTTGTGATGGGCAACAGCTTCATCTAGAGCAGCCTCTTCTACTTCCACACTGGCTCTGCTTTTTGTCATGTAACACCGATGGAGCTCCTTAAGGAGGAAGAGACCACCCAGGTATGCAAGCCATTTGCCCTCCCAGCCCCACCCAGACTGGCTACCAGGCATCGCTTAGGAAAACCTCTCTGGGCATTCCACTCTGATCAAAACACATCCATGGCTGCGGGGTGGGGTGGGGGTGGGGTGGCGCACAGAAGGAAGTCCAAACACCTGGGCCCCATGATCAAGGGAGGCTGTTCACCTCCTGCCACTGTCCCATCCCTTCTTTACTCCAGCATTAGCACTCACTAGCCTTTGAACACGGCAGTGAGGCACCTACCATTCTCTGTGCACATGCTCTCTGCCTGGCTCCGAGGGCAATTGGGTGTACAGGCATCAGACAGAGGCCTGGCCCTCAGGGAGCTCAGTCTGGTGGGGCAAAGGGGGCAAAAGTCCTGCAAGTGGGTGACGTGTGGGGCAAAGACAAGGATGTGGGGAACCACACCTGGGGAGGGCGGAGGGTCAAGAAATCTGCCCCCCACCCCAATCAGGATCAGGCACTCCCACCTCTGCTCAGCCAGATCATGCGGCTTGAGTCTCATGTGCCCCCTCGTTCCATCCTGGTCGGTTTCCACATCACTCTCCCTGATGGCCTGATGGCCTGTGAGCTGAAGGGCAGGGCCCCGGGTAGGACCTGACCCAGAGCCAGCCTCAGTGAAGCTTCTGGCTGCATGACACAAGCAAACAGGTCTCCTAGCCTGCCTGCTGTGGCCAGAAATGTCCACATTATCTCCAAAATGGTGGGGATACACTTCTAGCTTGAGAATTAGAGTGCCCTGAGCACCCTATGGACAGGAGATAGGTGTCCTGGGTTACAGGTGTCATAAACAGGGCAAGGAAGCCATCTTACGGGATCGAGCCCTGTAGACTTCAGGCAAAGCTTTCACATGCAGTGTTGGGTTGACGCTCTCAACTGCCTCCTAATAAAGCAAAGAAGGCAGCGTGTAACTATCATTTACTGAGTGCAGCTACCATTACTAACCTCATTTTGTAGAAGATTCTGAGGCTCAGAGAGGTTATGGAACTTGCCCAAGGCACCACAGGGTAAAAAACAGAAGCTGGCAGAGGACCGGCCTGCCAGGACTCTTGGCCTGCCTGGTGCTGAGAATGATGGTCATGAACGACTCTCCTCAGGTGCATGTACTTTTCAACGTACAACGTGCTCAGCACCTCGTCTCAGTCCCACAGTGTCTGGAAAGGGAGCTGGGTGACCTTCGTTAATCACAGCTGAGTAAGCGGGCACAGTGGAGCCTGCATTGCCCCATGACAGTGAGGTGGCTGGCAGTGGCTGCTACAGGGAACTCTGCAAGGCCTGCTGGGGTTGTTGCTAACCAAATGTTAGGCCCTTACGCAACGTTCCGAGTTCTTACAAAGAGAGACAGGTGGGCAGTCTCTAGCTGGACAGAGAGAGAATGGCCTAAGTGCAGCCAAAACCAAACTTAGGAAGGAGGCCGCACTTCAGCTTCCTGGCCACAAGCCACAGGCAGGGACCTGCGCCTGGAAGGAAAGCCGCACAGTTCTTTGTAAATATTCCACAGCCAATTTCCCTTCAAAACCAATGAAGCACACAACACAAAACCCCAAATCAGTCCATCTTAAGGACAGCAGCTGGTTTCAGTTTACTAATGTATTAGGCAGCTCTGCTACGGTAACAAACAACCCCCAAATCTCAGGGCTTACAACAGCAAACATTTCTTTCTCATTCATGTGACACTCAGTGGCTGCAGGCCAGCTGCCCTGGCTCTGCTCCACGTGTCTTGCCGTTCTGGCACCCAGGCTAAGGAACAGCTCCCGTGTGGGAGATGTGTTCTCACGGCAGAAGGCACAGCACGAGGCTACCACACGATGGCTCTGCAAGCTTCTGCCGGGACAAGGTGTGGGTAGTGTCTGCTAACATCCCTTTGCATGGGGAGAAGGGAAGTTCATTCCCCATGGGGGATGGGATGGGCACTGCAACAAGTCACACAACTGTGGGTATGGATATATAAAAGCCTCTAGAGGCAGGGGGGACAAATAGCTGTAGACAAAAATACAATGACCCAACATACAAAAAGATTTCCCAGTTTAAAGGACAAAAACCCTAAAATGTGAAAACCGCAGAGGAATTCAGAGGCCACAGTCCAACTGTCCATACTGCAAAGATCAGGAAAATCAGCAAACTTTTTTTTTTAGAAAGGTCTCGCTATGTCTCCCAGGCTGGCCTTGAACTCCGGGGCTCAAGCGATCCTTCACCCTCAGCCTCCTGAGTAGCTAGGCCTATAGGCATGCATCACCCTGCCTAGCAAAATTGGCAAACTTTTTAGGCGTACCAAGGATCCCAGTCTGTACAGTCTTTATAAACGCAGAACAAAATGTCTAACTCTACAAAGTTCAGAACCATGCCACTGGATTCTGAGTCAGTCTCCACAAGCAGTGAGTCACACAGGTCAGCTGCTGTGGTTAACTGCAGCAGATGGTCCCTTCAGAGATGGAGTCCAGGGACGTCATGACCAAGGTGACTGAAGAGAGTGAAGACCAGCTGGAGCGCAGTACTTTGGCCAGAAAGCCTGCAGGAAGGACTATCCCCAGGTGACAAATAAAGTGCTGGACTTTAGGGATGTGTCCAGCTGATTCAGGCATGCTAATTCTAAGGAGAGGGAGGAGACCTGGGGGCCCAGCACCCACAGCCTGGCTCGGTCACTTTATCTGGTGCACCTTTCTCTCCCGGAGATAATTCTTCCAAAAGGGAGAGGATCCTACACAGACCAAAAACGTTGGTGTCAAGGCTTTGATAAAGTACCTGCCGTGAACACAGAAAAAAGGTGGTTAATTAAATTACAATCTTAATCATCCATGGACCTTCCTAACATTCAAGGTGAGCCTTTTTGGATGTGAGTCAACATTAAAATGCAAGTTTAACACAGTTATTTGGTTGTTTATAAATCTGACAAATTGGCATGACATTCTCGCCCTTACAATCTGGCCACAACCTTTAGGCCAGTCCTCCAGCATCATGCAATGTCTGGCAAACATGAAATAAAACTACAAAACATGCTTTCATTCATTCATTCAACATTCAGTGAGTGCCTATAGTAAGCCCCATTCACCTCCCCCATCTAGGGGTATCGTGGCTGCAGTGTAATGAGTGTCATCAGACTGCAACTTTTCTGGCCAATGGCTCAGTTTAATGGGCCAGGCCAGTCTCCATGGTTGCCGTCTCACACAGCTTTGTGCACAAGGTAGGAGGGAGGGGAGTATGAGGCAATTGATCAGCAGTGGAATGAGAACCTGGCTGTACTCCTGGGACCATGCCTGAGCATCTTGCCCAGTCTACTCGGCCCCATGAAGGTGACTCACCTGGGGTGCTGCAGTACCTGCAGCAGGGTGCTCTTGGGAGGCACCCGGTATAGTTCCGCCCTGTCCTCATCCTCAAAGTAGACCTGCAAGGTTAGCAGAGGGGCAAGAGTCAGAGACAAATAAAGGCTTTGGCAGCACTAGGCTTGTTGAGGCCAAGCCCAGGGAAAAGTTAAAGAGATGACACCTGTGACTGGTTGAATGCTTCCTTTATACAGTTGTAGGGCTGGTGCTTTGCAGTCAGTCCTCCCCATGACACCGTAAGAAAGATTATCATCACTTCCAGTTTCCAAAGACAGAACCAAGGGTCAGAGAAGGGAAACAACTTGCCAACATTACCCAGCGAGTAAAGAGAGGAGCCAAGACTCAAGTGCAGGCCTATGTAGCCTTCCCTTCCCTAACAATTCAGTCCTAGAGCCATCAGGAGTCGGGGGAGAAAGCCACGGTGGCCCAGAGCAGGGCAAGAGCCTGAGCAGGGTGAGAAGGAAGACTGTGCAAGGTGTCAAAGCTCAAGCAGGCCGAGGACGACTTCCGCACAGGAGGCTGCCAGGGCCAGTAGAGAAAGGCACCCATGCTGGGGGCCAGCCAACCTGAGCAGGGGGAGAAGGGCTTCCTTGTAAGATGCTGTCCAGGGTGGGATATCAGAGCCCAAACAGGGTGAGGAGGGTGTCTATGCATGGGGATAGCCAGTAAGGGCTGTCAGGGCCCAGCTAGGGTGAGGAAGACAACTACTCATGGCAGGGGTGGCCTGTTGTGGGGAGTCAGAATCCAGGCAGGATAAGGAGGAGGATGTTCATGCAGGGTGACTGAGCAGCACAGGATGTCAGAGTCTGTGTAGGATGAGCAAGGCACATATGCTGGGGCAGCAGCCTAATGTAGGGAGTTAACAGTCTAAGTAGGGTGAGGAAGGTTCCATGTGGGAGAGGGGCCCGTAGTGATGACAGGAGGGGAAAGATCAAACAAGTACATATATTAATAATAAAGTCACTGTTACAAATATAGGAAGGGAGTAAACAAACCTGTGGCATTGGATTAGAATTGGAAATACCAGTGAGACCTCATGTTTTTACACACACACACACACACACACACACACACTCCCTAGCTATGAGGCACTAGGAAAGCATTATAGCAATAAACCTATCCCCCAACCCCTCTAGTATTAATCAACATACCTACTGCACAGAGATCTTGGCTTCTAAATACCATTGTTCCCTAAAAATAACCAGGGGACAGGTCTCACAGTGGCTCATGCCTGTAAGCCCAGCACTTTGGGAGGCTCAGGCGGGAGGATCGCTTAAGGCCAGGAGTTTGAGACTAGCCTGGGCAACATAGCGAGACCCCGTCTCTACAAAAAAAATTTTTTAAGAATTAGCCAGGCTTGGTGGCATGTGCCTGTATCCTTAGCTACTCAGGAGGCAGGACAGTTTGAGCCGGGAGTTAAAGGCTGCAGTAAGCTATGATTGCACCACTGCACTCCAGCCTGGGCAACAGAGCAAGACCTTGTCTTAAAAAGAGAGAAAAAAAAAGTACCAGGGCTCCTTGGAAAAAATAGCTGATTCCAGAGGTGGGGCAAGGAAAGCACAATTTCAACCTGTAACACATTTGTGCCAGAAAACAAGTGCTTAAAAAAATAGAGAAAGTCAAAGGACACAGAAACAAATTTGAAAGGATTCTTACTGGCCAAATCTGGGACAATCTGAGCATAAAATCATCATAGTAATAGATTATAACTCATTGAATAAAACAGGAAGCCATAAATCCACTGATCTAAAAAAACAAATGTGTTGCAGGTTTGATGAGCAATGGGATATTTACATCATTTCGAAGTACCTCCCTATAAAATACTTATTAATCATAACGGGGAAGGAGTGACTGTGTAGTAGAGAAGGCTAGAAGACCCCACCTCAATCAGGTGATCAGAACGGACATTATCAGTAACGGGACAAGTGGAAATCATGTATCGCCTGATACGATGCAAAGAGAATACTGTACCACTTCTGTGATATTCCAGCCAAATGTGCATAATCCAAATCTAGTCACGAGGAAACATGAGACAAACCCACATGACAGACATTCCACAAAATAAGTGGTCTGTAATCGTCAAAGGTGTTAAGATCAGGAAAGTCGAGCAAAGATTGAGGAACTCTTCTAAGCTGAAGGAGACTAAAGGGACATGACCACTAAATATGTGAGATTCTGAACAGGATCCTTTTGCTCTAAAGAATTTGGGCAACCTGAATGGAGTGTGAGAATTAGATGGTAGTACATCAATGTTAATTTCCTGACTTTGATGGCTGTATTGGGATTATAAAGAAAAACATCCTTGTGTAGGGCACAATGTAGCGTGTAAGAAAGAAGTATTTAGGGGCAGTGGGGGACATCAGTTGGCATTTTACTCTCAAATGATTAAAAGATAAATTCTTTACACGGTAAATTGTTGATTTTTAAAAAAAAAAAAATCCCAACAATTGAACATTATTCAGCTTCAAAAAGGAAGGAAATTCTGATACATGCTACAATATGTATGAATCTTGAAGACACTCTGCGAAGTGAATAAGCTAGACACAAAAGCACACGTACTGTGGGATTCCATTTATATGAGGTACTTAGAGCAGTCACATTCAGAGATAAAAAGTAGAATGATGAGTATCACGGACTGGGGAGAGGGGAGGAAGGGGAGGTATTGTTTAATGAGTACAGAGTTTCAGTTTGGAATGATAAAAAATTTTGGAGATGGCTGGTGGTGATGGTCACATAACAGTGTGAATGTACTTGATGCCACTGAATTGTACACTTAAAAATAGTTAAAATGGTAAATTTTATGTTATATATATTTTACCAAAATTTTCTTTATAAAGTAAAGCAGTCAATCTCCCCAACCTGCCCTCCAAAAAATATCCCATAGAGGAACAAAACAAAATTTCTCTTACCTCCAAATCATTAGGGCAGTATTTTTGCTCTAAGTCCCAAGAGGGTGTCTCACCAAACATCACCATTAGATGATCAATAAACCTAAGGAAATAACATGTACTTGCTGGGTATCAATAACTCCTGATCTATTTTCCCACATCAGTCCCCAGACAGCAATTCACAGAGATATCAAGAATGTAAAATACATGAAATGCAAGCTTAACCCATGTTGACAGCAATGCCCAAAATGTGTACGTGTATCACTTGACCTATTATGACATAATTTTAGTAGACATCATCTACTAATTTACTTATCTTTGTTAGGCATTATCTAGTTACCAGAATTTAGCTAGCTATGCACAATCTGGTTTTTTAGAAGTGAATTTATTTTGGTATTTTATATTGAGTCACTCACCTTCCTATCCAAATATACCGGGACAACTCCTTCTGTTATTGGGAAACAGTCTGTAATTTACACAGATGAAACATAACTTTCTTTAAAGGGACTCAGGCTTAAAAACACTTCTTACATTTAGCCACATTCTAAGCATTACCCCTATGAAATCACAAGTTAAATTTGTTAGTTATATTTTTCCAATATGTACTTAAATTATTATGCATGCACTACCCAAAATGATTTCACATTTCGCTGGTGATACGTGCTACTTTTTGGCAAACAATGTACTATGTGGTATTACACTTACTAACTCAGTATGAAGGTGAGACTTGTGCCTGTCATTGCAAACCTAGTCACTAAAGGTTCAGTCAACTACAGCAGTGGTCCCCAACCTTTTTGGCACCAGGAACCGGTTTCATGGAAGATAATTTTTTCCACAGACAGGTGGGAAGAACAGGCAGGAATGGGGGAAGCAGAGCTCAGGCGGTGATGCATGGCCCTGTTTTCCTAACAGACCACAGACTGGTACCAGGCCACAGCTTGGGGGTTGGGGACTACAGAACTACAGGATAGAGGTTATATCAAACCAGAATGTGTGAAACCCTCTAAAGCAGAGGTCCCCAACCTATGGTGAGTTGTATAATTATTTCACAATGTAATAATAATAGAAATAAAGTGCACAATAAATGTAACGCATTGGAATCATCCTGAAACCACCCCCCCACCTCTCCAGTCTGTGGAAAAACTGTCTTTCATAAAAACAGTCCCTGGTGCCAAAAAGGCTGGGGACCGCTGCTCTAAACTATCTCTTCCCTCCTCAACCAAAAATCCACCTGTCCCTGCTGCCACAACAGCAGGGAGAGAGCACGCAAGCAGGAGTAGAGGGTTCTTGGGCAAGTAAGTACCTGGAGTCCTCATGAAAAGCAGAGATGAAGTCTGACTGGGCATACTCTGGATACAGGAAGAGCACGGGCCAGCTCAGCCTGCCCTGGTCATCTAGACTCAGCCTGGCTCCGCAGGGGTTTTCAGAGCTGAGTCCATCCAAGAAAAGCTCAACTAGACCTTCTGAGGCTGAATCTTCATCCTCACAGGCAGCTTGAGAGAGCCTGATGTTCCTAGCCTGGGTTAAAGACAGGAACACACAGACACAAAAACCTTATTGTGTGGAGGATGCAAACCCATTTCACTGAAAAATAAGGAAACCATAACCATGTGAGCTCCCTGAAGGCCAACTCTACCCAGGATTCATCTTCATTATCCCTGAGGCCTGCCACACATTAGGCACCACTTGTTTAACTCATCTTCACCTGGCATCTACCATGTGCTGAACCCTATGTCAGAGATAAGCTACACATGGTTCCCCGAGCTCAAGCTTCTGCTCACAGTCTAGTGGGGAGACAGCTATGAAAAGAATCGTAACATAAGAAGGAGAGCTGTGGAAATGCAGACAATGGAATAATTAATTCAGTCTGGAGGCTGGAGATGACTAAGTAATGCTAGGCCCTGAACAATGACTTTGAATGGCACAGAAGTTGGGGTTGGGGCAGTTAGGAGGGAGGAAGAGCATTCCACCCCAAGGAACAGCAAGTGTAAAAGCACAGAAAAGATCAAGAGTGTGACCTGCTGCACAAAAATGTCAAATGTTTCAGTTTAGCTGGGACATGGAATACTAGAAATAATGCGCATTGACTTAATCTTGACTGTCTCATAGAAATGAGGATAAATCAAGGGTCTGAACAGTAAGTAGGGTCACCTCTTACGTGTATGTGGGGGTTCCTAAGGCTAGCACATGAGAGAAAATTACATGCAACCAAAACTACCTTTGATGATATCCTCTAAATCAGGGCTGGCAAAGTTCTTCTTTTTTCTTTTTCACGATAGAGTCTCACTCTGTCCCCCAGGCTGGAGTGCAGTGATCCGATCACAAAAAATTAGCTGTGCGTGGTGGCGCACCTGTAGTCCCAGCTACTCGAGAGTCTGAGGCGGAAGGATTGCTTGAGCCCAGGAGTTCAAGGCTGCAGTGAGGTATGATCATGCCATAGCCTGGGTAACAGAATGAGACTCTGTCTCGAAAAAAAAAATGCAGGAAAGACAGGGAGGTAAGACGTTGTTACAGTTAGAAGAGCAACATCCTAAAAATTCAGACTCTCTCAAGATACAGTATAACACAGCAGTTAGGAGCAAGGACCTGGCTCTGACACACATCAGCTATGTAAGGTTTCCTCACCTTTCTGAGACTATTTTATCATCTAGCAAAACAGTAGCAAGAAGACCTACATCAGAAGGCTACTGTGAAGATTAAATGAGATAACGCTTAACCCAGAGCAAGCATTTAGTACAGTAGTCCCCCCTTAGCCGTGGTTTCGTTTCCACAGTTTCAATTACCAGTGGTCAACTGCAGTCTGAAAATATCGAATGGAAAATTCCAGAAATAAACAGTAAGTCTTAAATTGCGCACCGTTCTGAGTAGCATGATGAGATCTCGTACTGTCTGCTCCATCCCACCCAGGATACGAGTCAGCTGTTCTCCAGCATATCCACACTGTAGATACTACTACTAAGTGACTGCCCATTAGTCACTTAATGGCCATCTCAGTTATCAGATCAACTATTGCCATATCACAGTGCTTGTGTTCAAGTAACCCTTATTTTACTTAATAATGGCCCCAAAGCACAACAGCAGTGATGCTGGCAATCTGGATACGCCAGACAGAAACCTCAAAGTGCTTGCTCTAAGTGAAAAGATGAAAGTTATTGACTTAATAAGAAAAGAAAAAAATCACATGCTGAGGTTGCTAAAATCTATGGCAAGAATGAATCTTCTATCCATGAAATTGTCAAGAAGGAAAAAGAAACTCATGTCATTTTGCTGTTGCGTCTCAAACTGCAAAAGTTTAACTGCAAAAGTTATAGCCACAGCACATGGTAAGTGCTTAGATAAGGTGGAAAAGGCATTCAGCTTGTGGATGGAAGACAGGAACAGAACATGTTGTGTTTACGGCAATTGGGTTTGGTACCATCCGAGGTTTCAGGTATCCACTGGGGGGTCTTGGAAAATATGTCCCTCAGATAAGGGGGATTACTGTATACGTTACAGAGACCAATACAAGCGCACAGTGGGAGGGCTGACCAAACTCAGGAGGCTCTGACTCCGGAGCCTGGGCTCCTCTGTCACACTGCTTTACCAAAGTAGAAAGAAAATGAACAAATTCAGAGAAAGCACCCCAAGAGAGGTTCCCAACAGACTCCACAGGATTAGTGGATTTAGCAGGACACTAAGAACCTAAGGTTTAACTCACCTTAACAGCCTGGAGTAAAGCCTCATTCTGATTCTGCTCCTTCTTCTCTTTCAACTTTGCTTTCCTGACATCCCTTTGTTCAGTTCGCTAAAAATGAAATTCAGATATATCAGCTCTAGAGAACTGGCTTCCTCTTCTATTACCCCAGCCTGCTCTGAATTACTCTCTCTGGTCTCTATCTACCCCATGCTTCTATGTCAACGGATATGAGTAGCCAGATTCAGCTCAATAAACATTTACAAAGCACGTGCACGTAGGTGTCAGGTTCAGTGGCAGCAGAAATTTAGAATCTAGTTCTTATACTCAAGAAGCCTGGTCTACTGAGGGGCTGAGGGATACAGACAAGTGAAGAGCCAAGTATAATATGTGTGTTACATTATGTTACTCTGGTGGTATGAACTGAGTGCTATGAAATAGAGCAGAGGGAGTGACTGACACTGGCCCACTGAAGAGGTGGGCTTACATAGACAGGGAAGATTCCAGCAGATATGGCAGGCGCAGTGGCTCACGCCTGTAATCCTAGCACTCTGGGAGGCTGAGGCGGGTGGATTGTTTGAGCTCAGGAGTTCGAAACCAGCCTGAGCAAGAGCGAGATCCCGTCTCTACTAAAATTAGAAAGAAATTAATT